CTTCATGAATTATTAATGAGTTTTCTAAATTATGATTAAAATTTCATTGCCAAATCAAATTCAAAACTCAATCCAAAACAAATTTAATCATTATCTCTTTCAAGTTTCACAGTTGAATACAGTATATAAATATTTACTATGTGATGTTTTTTAATTTGCTTGGACGAACGCTGTTCGATAACCTCTCGAATTGGAATTTGATCGGCGCTCACCAATAAGAGGTCTAGTAGCTTAGTTGGTTAGAGCGTCCGTTTTGTTTGTTTGGTTGCAGTATTAATAACCTTATTGGTTAATTTATCAACCAATAAGAAATTGGTTATAATGGCTGTTTCAATTGGTTATAGGTATATGGGTTGTTTTAACCAAAATGAATCTGGTAATAACGACCATCTTGATATTGGTCATTTTATCAACCAAATATAGGTTGTTTTAACCAAAATGAATCTGGTAATAACAACCATCCTGATATTGGTCATTTTATCAACCAAATGTAGGTTGTTTTAACCAAAATGAATCTCGTAATAACGACCATCCTGATATTGGTCATTTTATCAACCAAATGTAGGTTGTTTTAACCAAAATGAATCTCGTAATAACGACCATATTGATATTGGTCATGTGAGGTTGTTTTAACAAAAGATAAATCAATTCAATTATTTATAACCATTTTTCTAGTTGTTTCAATCAGGGAGTTTTTACAGTGTTTAACAGCACCACTTATACCATAGAAGTTTCTCACAGTCTTCTATTTTCTATTATATATTTTTTGAATATATTTCTGCTTTGAAGGGTTTTGGGGACTAGCTTCGTTGAAATAAGTAAATTAACCCTTTTGTATTGTTGTTAATTTGATATGGTCTCTTGGTCGGCATCATTGTATCACCCCACTATTATGCTTATTAAGTGACGTATATAAGGTTGAGATCAGTGCCTCCCCATTATGCCTCAGTGACGTATAGGGCTGAGATCAGGGCCTTTAAGGCCTCTAGGCCAATGTTTATGTGCTTAACATTAGGGTCCTCAAAATCCACAACGAGAGCGAGGACGACGACGCCAGATGACGACACGAGCACATTTTAAAAAGGGTTTTGAATGTGCGCGCCGTCGTCCATTCCGCTGCCGCCATCGCTAGAACGCCAGCAGGCCAGGTGCTGTCTCACGTTCTAACGAAAACGGCAACAACAAGGACGACGGCGTATTTAGGATAAGGTGCTCGCGTCATCATCCGACGTTGTACCACCTAGCTAAAGAAGTGGCACTGCCCGACAGACGGGATAAAGCGATAGATAAATATCCTTTATTTAAATACGATAATTCTATAGATATTCGGTAACTTAATATTCACGAAGGTACGCTTGCTTCAAGCAGACGTCTGAGATTCACATATATTGTTATTTTTTTGTTGAACATTGTTTATATTTAACGTACAATAACTTACACTTTCCATGGAGTCAGTCCTTATTTTCGTAGACCACGGGATACTCATATATTTAGTTTTATTATCATTTGTTTCTATATTCCTTTGCCCATATATTTGTGAAAATCTTTTACAATCATTCGCCGCAGCCGCGAGTCTTCCAGCGCGGCATTGTAATTATAAATATTCACAATAATCAATGAAAAAAGTCTTGTTATTACTTTTGCTCTGGAAAACTTTGAAACCCTCATAATCACCTCTCGAGCAATGATTATCGTATCTATATGCAAGTCTAAAATCATGCTAAAAAGGTGTTAATTCCGTCATTTGTCTAAACTATGTAATTAATAATAATAACTATGTGCATGCATATAAGTGACACGAAACCAACCCCGAGTCATTTGTCATTCGTAAAAATAAAATATCTTGTCTTTTCCGTAAATGATTACCTTTCTTTTTATGTGGTTTTAGCCCCCTCCATTTGTGCAGAATGCCATTATCTCTACATAAGCTAAGAGAAACTATCATTACATTTACCACAAACAACGAATACAGAAACACCAAGAGAAAATTAACAAGTTTATATTCTCTTGTAAACAGTGATTGTGCTCCACTGTCCCCTTGATACATTTTAGGATACCAAGAAGATTTAGATCTTCACTGATGGAAACAGCCTTGCTCTCACAATAGTCAGGACTATTTTATACTTATAATAACTAACTTCTGAGATATGCTTTCCTTGTTACGTACAAAGAATTCAGAGTAAGGCTTCGGGCATTATGCTAGCACTCAGGTTTGGAACAAAACAATTTAGCATGTAGCCTCGTACTGAGTATTTGCAGACATGGAACGCTGGATCCCTCACACACTAAACCCTTTTCCCTCTTTGCTCATACTATGTTAGGAATTAATTTGTGGTACAATTCTTTAATTCGAAAAAGCCTACCAGTTATTGGTAGTTCCATTAGTTCTGGGAATGACTTACATCATAATCAGATGTGAACTGTCATCTTTTCAACCTGTTACCACCGTAGCCAAAAAAAAAATCATCGCTATACTTAGGCCACGCACACACTTATCCGGATATCTTAGAAAACGGGATTCTTTTCTAAAAACATTTTTGTCAAAATTCAGCACATACCAATCGTTTTTGCCGTTTATCTAGATACATCCCACATTTCTTGATCATGAATTCATAATGAACAATTCAATTGAATTTATCAACCCTGAGTTTCTCTAATGGAAAAACTCACACAAACATCGGTTTTGGTGAAGACTGCGTGCAACATTAAGACAGTTAAGTATTTTTGTCGCATCACCAAAAGTTTCATGATGAATTTCAAAATGGAGTCGTATTTTTAGTTAACCTTTTTAAAATACGTCCTGAAATAAATTTTTACATTGAAGCATTCTATGTTACATGTACCAGAAAAGATTCCTTTTGCCTTTTCCTTTTTTAAAAATTAATAACAACAAAACATAAATGTAATCAACGTGTGAGCTGAGCGTTCTGTGCATAAAATATTGAATGTAGTGGTAGTGCGTGTGAGCGAAAAGTGTCCCCAATTAGTGCGAAAGCGCTAGAACGACTAGACACTTAAATAAAAGTGATTTATTTTTTATTTTAATAAAAGTAAGCAAAATCGGAGTTGTCTTGGTTAGTCACCAGCCGCCATTTTGCTTACCCATGAGATATTATGAAACAGGAGACTGGGTATTAGGAACTGTTCGTTTTGACAAACAATCCTTTGCGCGCTTCGAGTCGAGATCACCTAGAGGACTCTGGTCGGATTTCTTTATCAAAAATTGAGAATCAAGCTTTGGTATTCCGGCTCAAATGTGGAACGGTCTTTTTCGGCTGACCGTAGATATGATGGAAATTCAAAAAAAGATGCAATATATTATTTTATAGTCAAGACAATTATTAAACAATAACAATATTTTTACCAGAGTGTAACATCTTATTGATTTTACTGTTATATCTATCGATGGATCATTAGGTTTACACAAGAGAATATTGAGTATTATTATATAATTACCAATGAAATATCTATTTTTCTCTATTTCGAAAAATCGATATCTTCACACGTGAAAATAACATGTTATTTTCACGTGTGAAAATAACACCATTGCGATGGCTATTCACAAAAATACACGGAAAGAATTGCCTGAAAAAGCCAAAACATACTTCATTGATAATTATATAATAAACAGAATATTACATGGGCGCTTGGAGATACGCAATTTATCTTCTCGTGTTGAAAATCTCTCATCTTTTCAACACTCGAAGATAAATTACGTATCTCCGCGCGCCCATGTAATATCCTCTATTTATTATATAAACTCCAATGAAATATCAGGTGATCTCTCGCGCGAAAAATTGATATGTTCACACGTGAAAATAACATGTTATTTCACATGTGAAAATAACACGTTACCATGGATACTCCATGCAAACACACGCTTTGAATGTGCTCGCTTGTTGAAAATGGCTGAAGCAAACGAACCACACTGGAACTTTGATATCTTGAATGAAAACCCCGAAAATACTAAATCAAGATTCGCTACAGTATCTCRGGAAGACGTCGACAATCTCATAGCTAAAGAAGAGAACGAAAATACAAAGAAAAAAACCGCCTATGACCTGAACATCGTTTTGAAGTTTCTGCTAGAGGAGCGAAACGAAAGCCGAGATTTGGAGAAAATCCCGCCAGAGCAGCTGAATGTGTACCTTAGCGAATTTATTATTGCTGCAAGGACAAAGAAAGSYAACGACTACGAACCATCATCTCTCAGAGGAATATTATCAAGTATTGACAGATACCTGACTCGAAAAGAATACGGCAAAAGGCTATTTTTTGACCCGGAGTTTTCGAGGTTGAGGGACGCTCTGAAAGCCAAGCAAAAGAAGCTAAAAAAGCAAGGTCGAGGAAGYAAACCCAACGCAACAACTGCTTTAACAGACGAGGAGATTAATATTCTTYTTCAAAAGAATGTTTTGGGAGCCAGTTCTCCACAAGCGTTGTTGAATTCAGTCTGGCTGAATAACATGATTCACTTCGGTCTCAGGGGTTGTACAGAACAGAGGAGCTTGTGTTGGGGCGACGTTGCTTTAGAGACTGATAGTCAGGGGRAAAAATATVTTGTCCTTTCAGAGAGACAAACAAAAACAAGACAAGGTGATGATCCTAGGAATGTCAGGACAGTAAAACCAAGAATGTATGAAAACAAACAAGTCACAGCCGAGCGAGATCCAGTGAACATATACAAACTTTACCGAGACAAGCGGCCAGAAATAATGTTGAAACCTGATGCTCCATTTTATCTTTCTTGCAACTACTTAAAACATCTATTCAAGGCAAAAATAGTGAAAGCAATTGGTTTAAAGCACAGCCCGTGGGAGTAAATAAATTGAACAGTATGTTGAAAGACATGTGCGACGCTGGTGGAATTCCCCGCAAAACAAACCATGCTGGACGAAAGACGCTAGTGCAAAAATTACAGGATAGTAATGTCCCCCCAAACCAGATCATTCAAATAACTGGACACCGAAACTTGCAGTCAGTAAATAATTACAGCAGTCTCCGAGAGCGACAAATGGAAAATATTTCAAACATTCTGAGTTYAAGTACAACAAACCGCGAGTGTTCAGTCGCACAACGATCAGAGTTTCACACAGCCGAAGCACAACATTTCTATCAAGCAAGCTCATCAACCTCCTCAGTCCAAGAAAACCAACTTCAAACAATGTTTTATGGAAATACAATATCTGGAGGAATTTTCAACATAAATATGGCACCATATAGCAGCCCTCCAGTTGAACCGAGAAAGAAGTTTCGACGAGTACTTCGTATTGAGT